CATGTCTCGGATGCCTGCGTACTTTTGTACAGCGTCAATGCCTTCTTGCAATATACCTTCGAGACTTCCAGCCGTGCCTTCCTCCGCCCAAAGTGTGACGTCATCGGCATAGACACTGTGTTTGAGCCCGGGTATTTGATTTAACTGCTCTGGCAATCGACAGAGAGCAACGTTAAACAGGAAGGGGGAGAGGACTGCCCCCTGTGGGGTGCCTCGGCCACCCATGAATATCGTCTGAGAGGTGGTGTCTCCGACCCTTAGTGTGGCTGTACGACCTGTCAGAAACGCCTTCACGTAATTAAATTTATAGGTCTTCGGTCCGACTTGGAGATATTCAAGATTTTCCATGATAGCCATAGCTAGGGGACACGTTGTCGAAGGCTTTTTTAATGTCTAGGCCCACTACTGCTCGGTAGTTCTGTTGGTTGAGCGTGCAAATTGCTTGATGATGTATTTGAAGGAGGACGTCTTGAGTGGATAACCCCGGCCTGAATCCTATCATGGTGTGTGGGAGGAGGTCTTGATCATCGACATAGGCGTGCAGGCGAGCGAGTATGATATGTTCAAATAACTTTCCGATGCACGATGTGAGGGATATGGGCCTTAGATTTTCAAGTTGCAGAGGTTTCCCCGGCTTGGGTATGAACACCACTGTGCCATGCTTCCATTGCTCAGGAAGAGTGCCTTCCTCCCAGCACTGGTTAAAGTATTGGGTTAACGCCTCTATCGAGTTGTCGTCGAGGTTCCGTAGAGTCTTGTTTCGCACTCCATCGGCTCCCGGTGCCGAGGTGGTTTTGAGCTTCTGAAGGGCGGCTCTTACCTCGTATTCTAGTATCGGGGAGTCGAGTTCTTCATTAGGTGATCCACAGTAATCGGGGACGGTGGTGGGTATCTGGTTCCCTATGTACCGGGTTTGCAGTTCTTGTAGGAATGCGTCCATGTCACCGCGATGGTGATGTATGAGACGGCTCATGTTGCGGCGATGTTCTGCCTTCGTATTTTCTTGGTCAAGCAGGTGTTTGAGAAGGTGCCAGGTCTTGGCCATTCCCAAGCTACCCTGCATGTTGTCGCATATTTGATGCCATTGTTGATGGGTGAGGTTTGTCGCCTACTCCGCGATATCTTGATCTAGTCTCGCTATTCTAAGCTTGAGCGTTCGGTTATGCTTTTGTCGTAGCCATCGGTTGTGGAGGCTCTGTCTTGCCTGCCACATATGTAGCAGTCGATTGTCAATTTCCGTAATACCCGCTTCCTCTGGGATATCCTGTGTATACGTTTCAACGTCGTGCTGCATTTGCTGCGTCCATTCCTCGATATTATCGATGGTGGTGGGCGCTATTTCCTGTCGGATTTTACGCAAGCGATCCCATTCCGTGATCCGCACGCCTCTTTTCTTATGTTTGTATCCCGAGGTTGGGATTGTCGTGCTTAATATATAATGGTCGCTGCCGAGACACGCCTGAGTGTTAAACCACTCGCAATTTGCCATGTTTTTAACAAGAGTGAGGTCTGGACATGTGTCAGCACTAATACTGTTACCTATTCTCGTGGGGTGTTGTGGATCCGTTAGGAGGGTAAGCCCTTCCTGTTGTATCGCCATCCATAGATGCCTTCCTTTGGGTGTTTCGGTGCGATACCCCCAGGCAGCATGGGCGGCGTTAAAATCTCCCACAATTAGCAAGGGGTTCTGCTTAGCCCGGAGTAGCGTATCATGGAAGAGTGAGTGAAACCGATGCTGTTTGAACTTGGGGCTACTGTATATGTTAAGCACAAATAGGCTCGGCTCCGCTGGTCTGCGTGGGACAATTTCTAGTAAGACGTGATCGATTTCTGATTGTGCGATGTCATGTCGAAGAGCAATAGAGTTCCTGTGTACGAGGGTGGCCGTACAACTATCTGGCATTGCGCCCTGGTACGTTTTGTAACTGGCGAGTTTAGGTGTCCCCCCAGTTTCCTGTAGGCAGATGATGGCGGGTGGAGTTTGTTGGGAGATTAAGTGTTGTTGCAGGTTTCCTCTTTTCCGTTGGTAGCTTCGGCAATTCCACTGCCAGACCGTATATTTATCGTTGGTCATCTTGGTGGGATATATTTCTAGTGGAGTACATAGGTTCCGATAGCCTCATGGGGTCCATGCCTTGTGGTGTTGTACTTCGGGAGGGCGACTCGAAACGAGAGGGACGGCATTGCTGCTGCATCTGCTGCACAGTACCTTCTAGTGGCGTGAGACGCGTTTCAAGTTTCTTCATGTTCTTTTCTAGGTCGATAGTGTTACTGGTAAGCGTTTGCAACTGCGCTGTCGTTTCTTGATGCCGGACAGTATTTTCTCGATGCTGAGTCTGGATGGCTGTCATTATGTTTTGTATCATAGTTTCCAGTCTCGCTATGTCCTGTGGTTTCACAGCGGGTGCAAGTTCTGTGTGTGGAGCAGTAGTGTTCGGGTTTTCATGTGGCCCTTCGGCTGTCTCTACCGCTTTGCGTTTAGGGGCTGACCTCGGAACGTCCATCTGTTCTGTATCTGCCGGTGCGTTAACTTGTACAAGATTTGGGGATGCCAATGGTTGACGTTCGCGTTGAAGTTGCTCGATTAGAGCATTTTGTCGCTGTAACATTTGTCGGAGCTGCATGATTTCTGCGCGTAGCATTTGATTTTCATTATCTCTATTAGCTCGTTGGTCAGTAGAGGGATCAGTTACCGATGCCCAGGTCACCTTAGTGGTTGTTGAGCCTCTGGAGGGTCTCTGGTTTTCCTCGCCGCCGGCGGAGTTACTGTCACCTCGATCAGTTTTCTGCCCGATCAGTCCTCGCCCACCGCCGGCACTGCGACTGCAGCCACGCGCACTCTGACTACGTCTTCGCGCACTGCGACTGCGAGAGGTCCCTTGACTTGCGTATGCTGATTCAGCGGCAGAGCGCCGGTCCTTGGAGCGGCTTTGCCTTCCGATGCTAGGTCTTGAAGTGGGTGCTGTAGCTTCTTCGTTTGCAGTTTGTTGCCTGCGTGCGGCCCTCTGTGGGGCGTGGAAGCGGTGCTGGCACGCTTTCGAACCAGACATATGCTCCCCACCGCATATTGCGCAGCGCATCGTACATTCGTGGCTTCCCTCTGGGGCGAGGGTTCCGCATTTTGAGCAGCGTTTGTCGTCTGGTGTGGGGCAGATATCCTTCCTGTGTCCAACCTTGTAGCAGTTTTCACAGACTTCAATCTTTCTTCTATACAGCAAGCACCTGTATGTTGTGTTACGGTAGTTTACGTAGTAGGGCACCGATTTTCCTTCGAAGACGATGAGCACCGATGCCGTTTCTCCGAGACGTCGCGCTTGTAGTACCCTGGGCGTATTTCGTTCTAGGCTCGGTTCAATGTCCGCCGGGCTATCGTACGAGGGGATGTTGTGGATGACCCCTTTTGCCGAGTTGTCTGGCGCCGTAACGTAAGTAGTCGAGGAGTACGTTCTGGCACCGATCTTAACTTCCTTAAGGCTGCAGTAGGCGACCGCGTTATCTTCCTCAGGCGTACTGGCAATAACGATATTTTGTTCAGGCATGGTGCGGATGATATCTTCGTCCGCCCCACTTCGAAGCTGGGCGCAATGTTGGATGCTGTCGGAAATCTGTGCAGCGCTCCATGATTTGGCGTTGAATCCTCCTTGGAGACGAATGACAACTTTGTAGTCTTCCGCAGGTAGTTGAGGTAGCGGTGGTAACTTTCGGGGTCTGAACTTGCTGCTCGGCGTTGACTGTTGCCGCGTGGCGGGTGTAGTTTCGGCGTCCGGGCTCTTGTGCCTGTGCTTCCGGTACGCCGTAAGCCAACCAGGTTCTCGGAGCGTCTCCGGAGTAATTTCAGTGCCCTCGACAGTCACTTCCATGTCGTGGAGCTTGGGTCTTCGCGTTTCGAGCGGCCTCGCCCAGTGTTAGGCCTAGCTCCACCGGCGTGGTCTAACACACGTCTCGTAAAGCGAAAAAATCCCCACACAGATGAAATAGAAAATTCACACTGCGCTGAAACACTTGCCCAACTTTTGGTAACGTTGGAAGGGGTGGATAGCGAGGATTATTAGTCAGCCGGGATGAATTGAGACGGAGCTCATACGGAGCACTGCTCTAACTTTGTCGCTTCTTCTTCCTCATCTAGAAACGCCGTCAATTCAACTGTCCCACGTTCTTCTCGAATATGTCTTTTTCTTTCTTTACGCTTTCTTTACAAGCCTATTTTATTTCCACCTCTGATACAAATGGAGTAAGCTTTCAAACGCGAATTTGATTTCTGATTTAAGGCCAGTGTTGCGTCTTAGAAGTGGGCCGACACCGGAGTGGCAACAACAACTTGGGTAGCTCGAGTGCTCCGCTGATTGAACACTGCCCGCGTACCTGCATTGGCGCCCTTACATCAATATACGGAAAGAGACAGAGAGAACGAAAAGGGACGTCTCTGTAGCATAAACATGTGGTAATGAACCAGCCGTTTGTTTAGCAGGACACAAAGATTACACGTGTTTTCAGTTGATTTGAATTGGACTGTTCGGCTAAGAAACGATCCACGTACACTGATTGTCAGTTGCGCCGATATCAAACGAGTCAACATCTTTTTTTATTATTATATAAAGTGAATACTATTGATAATTTATTAATCCAAAATAGTTTAGACCCCCAAAAATACGTAGTTTGTGAAGTCAGTCCAGCGGCAATTGTAGTCCGTCACGTCCCGAGCACCATCACAGAGGTCCGTACACTGTTCCTGCGCTGCACTCGAAACAAAAATCACGTGTCCTCCTTTAATAAGCTCGGCCAATGTAAAGGTCGATTGGTGGCGTTTTGCAGTAGCAACGCGATTTCACTTGCAAAAAGCGGCCGACGCCTTTTTGCCGCTGATACTGCACGAACATTGGGGCGCCATACCGCACTCACCCTTCTGATTGGTCAAACTGATTGAAAAATTGACCAATGACTGGTCTTTCTTTAACACGGGCAGCGTCTGTTTAGAGTGAAGGGGGCGTAGCGCTTCCTCTTCAGGTGGTCGTCAGTGCGGCGCCGTGCCTGGAGCGCAGGTGCCGGTCGAGGTCCCTGCGGCGCACGAGCACCTTGCCGCAGTGGCTGCAGCGGTACGGCGAGTCCAGCTCGGCGTGCAGGCGCACGTGCTTGTTCAGGTTCGAGGGGTCGCTGAAGGGCCGCCGGCAGAAGCGACACTGCAACGGCTTGTAGCCCGTGTGCGTCCGCACGTGGATCTTGAGCCCGTACCTGCGGCCACACGCGCCGGAGCACACGTCGGCGTTAGAGAAACGCGGAGCCAGGAGCGACGGAAGTGGTTAAAAGATTGCGGGGTCACCCCCCCCCCCCCCCCCCTTCCCCGGCCCGACTCCACCGCACAGGGTAAAACAAACCTTTACGATAGGAGAGTATCTCGCACGCAAAAGGAGCTGAACGGAATTCAGCCATTGACGGAGGAACTCCGAGTTAGTTCGACATGGAAGAGAAACGGCGGTGCTTGAAGACTCGTGCAATATTTTTTTTTGTTGTAGACAGTAATACCTTTCAAAATTGATTGCATTTTCAATTTCTTCACAAACATAAAGCAAACCTAATAAGTTTCCTTTTTTTAGGTTTGTTTTCTTTACGCCATTTTTTACCGCGTTGTTTACAGCACATGTTCAGCATGCACTGAGCAGCAACGGACTCGGCTATGGCCCCCTGTGATTATCACCCGCGCAGTCGATATCTAACCGTGTTAACAGCCGGCTTCTTCGGAACTGTTAGCCTCTTGAGTTGCCCCACCGATACACATCAGAAATCACAACTGAGGCATTTCGTTTCATTGTCACGTTGAGGCACCACATTGTAAACCATTTTTCCAATATAGGAAACCATATGGTTCCTCGCACACCCGTTTTATCGTGACGGCGACCACGTTGCATTTTGACACGGCTGAATTGCGAGGGGAACAAAAGATTACTTCATTTGCCAATGAGAAGACCCTACAATTGAAAGGGATACCACTATACTTGAAGATACATTTTTTGGGGACAACGGAGTCAGATTTATGGGCCCACGCGTGCGCTCGCGAAACTTGATGGTCGAGCAAAGCTGTGCACCCGTGGCCTTTGCTACTTCTGAAACGCCAGAAAAAGTTGGCCCCGAGCATAGCTTTTTTTTTTCCCCGCCATTCATTTTTCACGTGGCGCTGTGGAAACGTTTTACTTCTTTTGTTGCCCCACTCGTGAAAATTTAACGAGGCAATTCTTGTGCAAAAATTATTTTGAATAAAGCAGAAGTATCCCAACCCCGGCGCCCGGAGGCGTTACGGCCGGCACGCGGACCGCTGCTACCAACGCCAAATGCTGGTGTTGCTTCTCCGCAGCACACCGGTGCTCGGCAAGAAGCGGGCTCTACGAGGCTAACCTGCCGCGACCAACGCCTCAAGAAGTAAAAATCAAGAGGAAAGCCCACTTTCAAATCGGGCCCAATGCACGCCCGCGCGTAGTGCCTCTAAAGAAATGGAAACTTTGTGAATTTTGATATCTACACTACAGTAAAATATTTACAATCAAACTGTGGCTATGATGCAAGGCATACATGTATGTAAGGCAGAGACGTCCTGACAGGGTACGTCCATCATTCGTGATTGTCCCTTTTTTACCCCACAAATTCTAAATTTAATAAAGCCCCTAATTAAGTATAACTGCGCATCTTTATAGGTTTCATTTTATGTCGTATGCACAGTTTACTTGCCATTCCCGTCGGCAATGGACTTTCTGAGGTCACAGTTAGTAAATATAGCTAGATTAAAATTAGCTTATATATGGACAGGTGGAAGCTTGGGAACAACTTTTAAGAGTTGAGATGGGCTTTTCTTTGGGCATGTTACACTAATAAAACAGCTTGGGGAAACTATTCGATATTCCATTCAAAGATATTTGGCCAAAACCACTATTCGCTTCCAGCTCAAAATCCACTATACGCACATGTCTAGACAAATGGACGAAAAACGCCGGTTCTTTCGGCATAATATTTATTGTAAATTGTCATCACCATAATTACTATTTGTAGTTCCCTGCTGGATGTCTGCGTTACTATGAAAACATTCCTTTGAGTTTACGTGTATATCGCGCATATATAATCTGGTCTACCATTTTCCTTGGTCTTCTGCCCCGTGTTAATATGCCAAAGTTCCTGTGCGCTTTGATTTGTCTACTGAGTTCTCGGGGTCAGAATTAGTTTGTAATGTCATTAATAGTAAAATAAGCCACTTAAAAATAAAGTCTAAGGACTTGCCCACCTTATATTTCTTATATTTTTGCTCTACTTGAAAAGTTTATATTTAAATGCCTATTTATTTACTCTTTTCTCGATTATATTGTCTTATACAATTTCTGGCCCTCGAGAGTGCAACAGGACCCCAATCCTGCCACTTAGCCGAAACGTTTGGAGACTCCTGTCATAGAGCAACTCGTGCGTTTGACGTCCCTCCAACGTGGTAACGCTGGTTGCAGGGCATGTGGAAGTGCTTCGCTTGGCCAAAATATACTCTCCTATGCATGTGCAATGTGCCCTGCTCTTGTGAGCATGCCATGAAGCTTCCTTCCGGTGCAGATAGCGTCTTACCTCCGAGAGTACAACTTCCCGCAGAACATGCAGACGTGACCGCGTCCTCCTCCCTCGGAGCCCTGGTTGCGAACTCCGGGCGCGTTGGGAGTGCCCTGGTGTGCCCTGGCCCGAGCGCCCAGGGCAGCCGACGCGGCCAGCACGGCTGCCCCGCTGGCGAGGCCCGTAACGAGGCCGAAGCCGGCGCGGAGAGGCTCCCTGGCTTCGTCGGGGCTCGGGGCGCGATTCGCCGAGCAGTGCTCGAGCATCAGGTGCGCCTTGAGCGGGTTCGGCTGCGGAAAGCTGGCGCCGCAGCCCAGGCACACGTACGACTGGTGGCCTGCACCCGGAGACCAAGGAGAACGTTCTCTCTGATGTCCCCAAGTGAAAAGATGAATTGGTCTTTCAATTGATACTATGCTGGCTGCAAGTGGTACCGCTTGAACGTCCAGTGGTACCAATTCGATTGCAAGTGGTACCGCTTGAACCGCAAGTTTAGTGCTATTTGAACAGCAAGTGGTACCACTTGAACTGCGAGTGATACAACTCAGACCGCAAGAGGTACACCCTAAGTAAAATGCTGGTTATTTAATTGGGCTCAACTTTCTCCCGGCTACATACGGCCGTGTCAGCCCATTTCCTCCCAGAATGAAAAGGCCGGACAGAAAAGGTCGTGCGTTTACCCAATTTTCATTTTTTTTTCTTTTTCACCTATGGAGCAGTAACGTCAATAATTCCAGGACGTCTTCGCTCGCGTTCTAGAGGGTAAGGAGACCTCTTTTTCTAACTTTAAGGACGAAAGCAAAGATGTCTTCTCAATCAAGAATGAAAAAAAAAACGGGAAAACACACGATAATTTTTATTCGGGTTTTCCATTCCGGGGAGGAAGGCGCCGAAACCACCACTTGTAGCCGAAAAAATGTTGATCCCGAATAACCGGCATTTTACTTAGAGTGTACTACTTGGACTGCAAGTGGTACCACATGGGCTCGAGGTACCAAGGTACCGGGCTACGAGGGAGAACGTTCTCTCTGGTAGCTCACTGCCCGAAGTTTCAATATCTACCATCTTATAAGTCTCTGAATCAATTAATGCTGCACTACAATGTACTCAGAGCACCAATCATTGGTTTTTCCTTTATCAACTCAAGCAATGAGTAGGACAAGAGGTACTGTTCCAACGGCAATGCAGTTCCACGGGCAAGAGTCTTTCTGCCACTGAGGCCCACCGATCGTCTTTATATTTGATTGAACTGATTAAAACAAAACATGTGATCGGTTACGAGTGCACCATAGGGTATTACTAATGCACGAACGTCTGGGAGGGAACGTTTGAGACAGACACTCCGGTTGAACGTTTGGCTAATCTTGAATGCTTCGTCTACAGTTGGTATTCATCGACGGCTATTGAAAAGTCCAGTTATACCGAACGCCTTCGACAGCAAATTTAAACATCACTTCCACAACCATGCAATTTACATAATCAAGATCGTCGTTCATGACAGAGGAAACGTATCAAGCGGGAGCTCCTTTTGAACATACGACTGGCATGCAGGAAATACTAACGCAGAACTTTGCGCTTAGTCCTCAAGCATCAGCGCGGACAACTGGGTCTCCATCCGCGCCAATATAGATGATGCATTTAGAGTTTATCCTAGTCGTTGTCGTCACCCACCTCGTATGTGTGCCGGTGTGAGGATGGGCACGTCCAACTCCGCCAGCAGGTCGACGGCGAACCATGCCCGGAGCTCTTCTCCCGCGACCAGCGCCTTGGAGGTCTGCAGCCAGAGGCGGCCGTCGGCGCCCCGACCCAACTGCGCGTTCTGCTCGTGGCAGTCGCGCGCCAGACGCACGCCGCGGCACAGGGACACCCCCACGCTGGGCTCCTTGGCCGACAGCACGCCGTCCTGGACGACCACCTGCATACCATACCGGGCATCACAGGGTGGACAGGCCATCCAGTTGCAAACTAGTCGCAGACTAGTTGTCACTCTCTCGCGTAGTCGACAGAACGACATGCGGACCACCCCGGGCATCAAGAGGGACCAAGCGGTGTGGTGGTCGCAATGTTGAAGCCAAACTCCATCTGCTCGTACATGACACAAAAGACGCGCTGTTCGCAGCAGACACGATGAGAGAAGTGTCGGCGGACACTCCCCAATCATGTTCGAAGAATGTTTGCTTCGTATACATTCTTCGGAACTGCCTACAGGGAGTTGTTGTATGGCCATTGTGATAGAACCGTCGTATAGAAGGTGGAAAGACGCCTCATGCACTAGGGAGCTTTAGGGAACCGTTTCTGCACATCCGATACGGTACGATGAGTCCTTCGGTACGAACTGCGCATGCGCAAGTCTTCTATGATAGCGCATGCGCAGTTGGCACCGGAGGGCCCATCGTATACCCTACCGGACCTGCAAGAACGGTTCCCTAAAACTCCCTACTGTCTGCAGACCATCTTTTGTTAGACCTCGACTTCATAGACACCTCGCCGCGTGCTTCAAGTCAACAGTTTCAGCTCGCTTGCACCTTTGCATTAATTTCATTATCGCCATAACCTTAAAATGCAGGCCGTTCACGTACTCGTTGGTGTTAGACTAGTGGCAGCTGATAAAACCCGTTTGCTCTACTGACGTCTAACTCCAGGTTAGCTTCGTTTTCATAAACAATAACCGCCAGCACATCTCCCAGGTGAGAGTGTGTCTGCTTAGTCTACGGGTGAACAGAAAACAGCCCGACCGCGCTTACCTGAACGATTCGCTGGACCGGCCGCTGGTGCAGTAGCCTCCGGAGCGACGACTCGCAGCCTCCGGACGAGGGCCTGGACTTTGTGCCGGCGGGGATGGGCGTCGCCGCCACGAGGGCGCTCTCCAGGCACGGTTCGAACCCCTGCTTCGGGAGCCTGGGCTGCATCTGGCGCGCACTCTTCGTTTTCCGGCCGACAACTTCGACGGGCTCGTCTTCCGCGGAATCAGAATCAATCGGAGACTTCCGATCTTGTCTCTTCAAGCACGTCACCGTAGCTGGCCCTTTCGGGACATACTTCTGCTCCCGATGACATATAATAATATTCAACGCACAATTTAACCGCGATGAATTAGAGACCTCGACTCGTAAACAGCTCAGGGGCGTTCATCGTTAGGAGAAATTCCTCGACCCGAGGAAGCGTGTGGAAAAATGAGCGTAACACCAGCGTGTCGTCGCACGTGTACGGCGCGTGGCACTCTCTCGCCGCGGAAGAGCGGCTCTTGCGCCGGGCACGCGACGTGGACAGCGCATCGACTGCCGCTGATCCGATGACTCGGGAGACATTTTAATCGGGAGGCCGAAGCCCCCCACCCACCGCTTTCAAAAAGCGCAGTCATCCCCCGCTTTGACGAGGGAGGTCGGGGTTCGCGCGGGGAGCCGATGAGGGGACCCGATGGTGCCTTTTGAGCGTAGGACGGGGGATACTGCGGTTTTGTTGGGACAAGGGGGCCACGGGGAGAGGGGGCCGGGCGTGACGCGCCATTAGTATCAGTTACGGCCGTGTTCTTTTGACCGGGGGCTTCTGAGGGGGGCCTCGCACGTGGCGCACTCGTGGTGGCGGCCACGCGCCAGCCCTCGACACCTCTGCAGCTCCGCGGCGACGCGGATTACGAGTCGGTGCGGCTGTCGTCGGCTGCCGGGGTTCGCGTGCGTGCGTCTGTGTTGCTCCGACTGCGGAACGGGGTGATGGTTCGCTACCGCTAACCAGTCACGAGGGGTGCAGCTTGCCTGCTGCAAGTGTTTCCCGTGCTCAACCCTCGTTGGGGACGAAAGGTTCTCAACCTTTGGAAGTCAGGTTTATGGTCGGTGGTAGCTAGAGAGCAAACGTGTATTTAATGCCTTGCGAGCGAAAACCTCGCTGGTAACTTGTTTATTTCTTTGGTGATGAAGCAACGACTTGGTTCCTTTTTTTTTTTCGACCGGAAGTGCGTAACGTATTTCAGAGTCATGTTGATGTTGTAACGTATACCTCTTCTGGTTGCACTTTTATTTTTATGTTTGCGTACTTTCTAAGTTTGTCTGCACTTCCACTCGAGTTGGATTTGTCAAATGAGTAAGTGCAAAAACGAGAATCAAAGACGCAACCGCGAAGTTGGAAAGCATCACCGCGCTCATTGCTGAACCTTGCACCTTGTAAGCGATCCGGAAAATGGGCCCAGCGTGCATGTGCTCGATTCATGCTTCGACGTGACGGCACGAGCTCCAGTTAGAAGAGCGTAGAACTTTAGAGTACGGTCTACTAAAAGTTGAAAATGACGGTCGTACGGCCAGCCATTCAGCGATTTCTTATCCATATTATTTTGCATCTGCATATCCTGGCTTCACGTCGGCCACATTTCATTCCAACTTCAAAAGTAACGAATTAGTTTTTGGCCAAGTATGTTTTTGTTATTTATTTTTTTATACTGGGGAACGAGTTTTCTACTAGTTTTCAAGCGTGTAACAATGAATAACCTCAAATCCTCAACTACGCAAAGGCTCAACTTAACTGCAACAACCACTTTTTAAGCGTGTAACAATGAATGGCCTCAAACCCTCAACTCAACTACAACAACTACTTTTAAGCGTGTAACAATGAATGATCTCAAAGCCTTAAGTACTCAAAGCCTCAAATCGACTACAACTACAACTTTTTAAGCGTGTAGTAACGAACTACCTCTACGCCTCAAAGCCAGGGTGTTGCACCCTGGCTTTGAGGAGAAACAGTTCTCTACCTATTTTTGAGCATCCTTGATGTTGATAATACTCCTAGCAGTCAAGCCAAGTTGCGTTAACAAGAACAGACGACAAACCCAAGGGGCAATCCGTACGCCGAGTCTGGCAAGGGCTGCCAGGCTCGCACATATAAACCCACCATGTCTGTGTTGCACAAAATTATTTCTGCTACCCTAAGCGATAGCAGGCAAAACGTGCTGCAATCCTGACCTACTTCGCTTTCGGAGCCGGCAGAAGGATCGACATCACTGGCGCTCTTTGCCAGCTTAGTTTCGGTTTGAACCCGCGTATACAAGGATGGCATTGCTTGCCCCGTAGCGACCGCTACAACTTGTCTTTTGTTATTTTTTAATCAAAATATTACTACACTCATGACCGTATTGAGGTTGAGCGTCAAGTCTCCAACTACACTTTGCCTAACATTATAAAGTTATAGATATTTTAGTCAGTTTGCTAACAAAATAAATTATGTCGCCTTTTTTCTTTTGGCCGTCAACGTCACCAACTTGACCTTAATACTAAAAAAGAATGCGAAGTATTTTTTTTAATTTTTGATTGACCAAATAAACAGCATATATGTCAACGGTGTAGCGGTTTGCGAATCCTCTGACAGCGTATCGAATACGAATATTTAGCATCTACTGTAAATTGAACACGAATACTTTAATCATATGCGGATTAAATGTTCTTCTAGAAAACATATCGATGAAAAGAAACAGTTTTATTACACGCGATGACGAGATAAATTGGTTAAAACATAAGGTAACATTGCTAGCTAAGCAATAAATGACTACCTTATTTATTCGAATAATATTTTCTTCCGTCGCTGTATTCTAAAGGAGTCATGAAACGATATCGGGTTGGAATGTTCGTGACTTTGCAGAGGTGTACTGGTCCTAGTCTGGCCCAAGTATACTCGCACAGATCGCCACTGACTCAGAAACGTCTTTGGCGCTGTGAAATTGCGAGGATAAAAAGGGACTATTTCTTTCAGTCTTGCCTTCGCAAAGCTTGATGTCGTAATTGTGGGATCGAAACCACCAGCCTTCCGACAATGGAGCGCGGCTTATGGGTTAGACACGAAAACTGCGTGAGCACTCGACTTCGGCTCGTAACAATTCAATGCCTCGGCTGACACTCGGGTAGTGGCTCGTGTCCAACCACTGCAGTGATGAGAACAGCCGAATTCTAACAATGCCTGGAGCTAGCGTTTTCTACTTTGCCGACTCCAGTGCGTGGGTGTGACTAACGTTGGCGGTATAGGATAGGCACCAGGCCACGTGGCCGCTTGCTCTGGCGCCGAGTTGAAGGGATGAACGATGCTCATATTGCTCGAATGTTTTTTTATCGGCTGCCATTGCCTAGGAAAAAAAAAACAAAAAAACTAAGGCATGTTTATTCCGTTTTTAACGTTAGGGTATGATACTAAGTAGTATTTAAAAAACAAATTTTAAATTAGGGACCAAACTGTAATTGTAGCTAAAGGAAACACCCGGGCGCATCCAACCAACCGAGGTCCTCCGGCTCGTCAGCCACTTCTCCTAGAACACCGGTGCAAAGCGGTGAAGCCACGACGCGCTCTCGCGCGCTGGTTTGAATCGGTGAAGCTGGCCGCCAGCCAGAGCGCTGGCGCGAAACGGGCGTGACGCGACAAACTGCAGAATCTTGAAGACATTATTCTTAATTTTCTAAGATATTCGAAAAAAACCTCGAATACCTCAAGCAGTAAAACTGTACCGCGAATGAAACCGAATAGTAAACATTGTATTTTAGAATTATCCGAGGTTTCGACCGTTCGCAGCCATTTATATGTGGTCACTGCCAGCTTAAGAAACAAGGGGCGTGTAAAGTCTCCGAGCATATCTGATTATTCCTCTTCAGCCAATGAGAGTGCAGAATTCGCCGATAACAACGCCGTAGAACCAATCGCGAAGCAAGAATATAGTAAGCGGCTGCTCAAACAGCATACAAAACTCAAGCTGCAAACAAGATAACAAAATTATGTGAGGACACGTTTCGAGCTTGTTCGAAGCGTGTTTGCCTCATGTAACATATCTGCGGACAATTTGTTTGTATGACCAGTGTGACCGTCATACAGGCGACAAACTTGTCCCCAGACAGTGTCCATGAACCGTCCATTGTATGGCGTATTACAAGCGTGAGCACGACTTTAGATTGTCGGCGACTACAGTTGACAATTTGTTTGTATGACGGGTGTGACCGTCATACAGAGGACAAACACGCCTCAGTGTCCGCGAACCGTCTTTTGTATGAC